ATTTTAAGTTGATATAGCATCGCTCGTAGAAAAAATGCAATGAGAAAAGAAAACAAAGATACGAACTTATGATACACAAAATGTGTGAGTCAACACAATCAAAATACAATTTAAGTGATTCGGCTAGAATAGTCTACTCCACTATGAAGGTATAGAATGACCTGAGTGTTTTATTGCTTTAAAGATTGTAGGGTGCTCAAGTATGAGTGATATGAGTAAGATGTCGCTCTTGTGTAGATGAGACTTATAATTTATAAGTAATTCTTAATAGATTGAGACTCTTTTCTCATACCAGGTGAAATAGTTTGGTGGAGGTGACGTCCTTCTCGTAACAAGTGAGATATTTCGTAGAAGTGCTGATGTGCACGTTCCAAGAAGATCTCTTCGCCTGTCAGACTCTCTCTTAAGATGGCAAGGTTGACCTAACTTCCTCTTTCTTACGGTGGGCTTGACCTGCATTCCTAAACTGGGCCTCTAAATTGGGCCTCGTCCACGATTGTGGGCTTGATCTATAATTTTGGGCTTGGGTTCGGTCGGGGCTGCGCCATCACAATCCAACATATGCATTAGATAAAAAAAAAAAAAAAAATTGAGCTTCCTATAAAAACCTTGATATATTCTAGAAAAAAATATTCATAATTAAATAAAAGTAGTGAAAATGCCTTCTATTTTTAGCTAAATAAACCTTGTATTTCCTAGAAAAAGAAACATTTGATTACAATGAAGTTCCTCCCAAATATCAGCCAGGAGCTCAACAACAAACAATGTTGTAGCATACATTAACCAACATAAGCTAACAAAAGAGAAATCTGGGGAGGGCTACAGTACCCCTCCCTCCCTCCCTTGCATCAAAGTAATAAGATGATAGTTCTTGGCATAATAAGGTGATAGTTCTCATTCCTTATGTTCCATATCAGAGGTTAAAAGCCACTTAATGTTTTCCTTTCTATCAGGCTGGGCATTGTGATTAAGCATGACGTTCCTAATTTCCATGATGTCAGTGCAGTTCTTAGGATTTACCCTAAGCTAGCTCCAAGGGTTACCATGAATGACTAGGCTTCTTTGGATAATCCTAAGTCANGTAGATAATGTTTGACCAATTCGCTGAGACTTACATGTAAAAATATACCATTACCAAAAAAGCATTGATATGAAATGCTTTTTGCATATTGGACAAAACATTCCCTCTCTGTGTAGTTCTTCTTTTTCCTTCTTTTCAAATCAAATTTGGGGAGCAATGCATGCACTTAGGCGAAAAGAGTCAAATAGATGACATGAGTTTACTAAGAGATTGAATACGCATGAAAAGAGATCGAAGGATAAGTAAAACATTTCTTAATAGGATAGTACAAAACTATTAACTTTTGAGATTAATTATAATTTTTTAGGATAAAGTTGTAACTTGTTGGGACATTTAAAATTCTGTTTTTTTTTATATCTGAAAGGTAAAATATTTCTACTGATTCAAAAAAAGACAAGATACAAAAGAATGAATTCTCTTACAAACAATAGAAATCACTTATATTTAAGAGCAAAACTACTGAATTCTGGGAGAAGTGAGGTTAGTTGTCTAGACTTCCAACAAAATGCACTAGTAAAGAGATTAGTCCGAACAACTATTGGAGATCTACCATGATTGAGCGAATTATCTAGCATTTTAGGATCAATTCTAACATCGAGTATAAAATATTATGACTAATAACTAAAATTCTCAAAACCGTATAGCTTCACTTAAAAACATATAACTTGACTAAAAACGNCCCGAACAACTATCGGAGATCTATCATGATTGAGCGAATTACCTAGCATTTTAGGATCAATTCTAACATCGAGTATAAAATATTATGACTCATAACTAAAATTCTCAAAACCGTATAGCTTCACTTAAAAACATATAACTTGACTAAAAACGTCGGTTAAATATGAACTTAGATATAAAATAATGAATTCTTGTGTATATTTTCTTTACAAACCGATTTCAAGAGTTTTATCTATGACTTTAAAACAAACTTCTACCCCTTAGTTTTCAACGTTTTCTTTTATTATATGTTATAATGTGTCCCATCTAAACTTATTCAAAAAATTTAAAGATTATAGGCAAACTAAACTCTTGGATCTGTCCCTGTGGGTNAAACAAACTTCTACCCCTTAGTTTTCAACGTTTTCTTTTATTATATGTTATAATGTGTCCCATCTAAACTAATTCAAAAAATTTAAAGATTATAGGCAAACTAAACTCTTGGATCTGTCCCTGTGGGTAAAAGAATGAGGGTGGTCATCCTATCAGCAAGCTTGTTTACAGATCCATTATAACCTTCTTTCTCGGTTGTCATTTCATTGAGAAATCAAAAGATTGCTATGGTTTTACTCTAAAGGACAGGAACCTATGCTTATGCTTTTTGGTTGCTTTCATGTTGTCTTTTGAGAAACAGATTGTCAAACAATTATTTCAAATGACATAAATAAGTTCATCCATTCTGGGGTTTGACATAATGAATTTGAACCACTAGGTCTTGCAGGCTAAATTAACCCAATGATATATGCTGTCCATCACCCCCCACCCCACGCACAAAGAGACAGGTGTCAATTGTTGAAGGAATGGGATTTTTGGAAGTTCCACAAGGAGGTAGGGGAGTGCAGGAGAGATGGGAAAGTCCCAATCCCCACTTATTTTAACTGAAGTCCACTGCTGGCAATTTTTCTTTCTTTTTTTTTTTTGTGTACATTGATGTACCTAGTCTATTCTTTCTAAGAGGAAGAAGAATATACGGAAGTCGTTAGCACTTGCAAGCTAGGATCCAAGCAAGGCCTTACACCTTATAACAACTTTGTTGAATCACATAAGCACATTATTTCTCACGAGATTCGAACCTCAAACCCTCAAATTGGAAGATGAATACAGGCCATCTGGTATTTTAATTTGTGAAGAATCGCCAAGTCTCCCATTATCTAGATTTTTGCAATGCTTTTGTAGTTTCCGTGGTATTTTTTGAGATCCTCCATATATATTCACCTACTGTCACTGGGAGGTGACTTTCCAGGGAGCTTGAGAGGTTATTTTGACCCCTCAACATTGAGATCCTGAGGCATTCACTTGATGACAGATGCATGAAGCCAGCAGGCCATGGTTTGGTACCTTTATATTTGTTCATTTTATTGCAAAAAGCTAATTGTGGGGATAAGTACAAGAAGTGTTTGGATTTGGTTTGATATTCTCAATGGACTAGTCCTAGAGCACCTGTTTAAAACCTTGAAATTTGCTTGAAGAGATTGTAGGGAGCCCGTTGCTATGTGCAACCTCTTTTGATAATTTCCTTTCGAATTTTACTTTTTAATTAAATAGTACTGTAGCTAAATCCAGGCCTGTCATTTGATCTGATTTTGATCCAAATTTTATTAGTTAGATATGAATTAATATTTTTTATCGATAATCCGAATTTGATTTCTTATATTTTCATGGATTTGAATTTGGATACACCTATATTCTATTAAATTTGTATTATTTATATATTTCTATATAAATATTAAAAAAATTAGTGATTATTTAAAGAAAATTTAAGTATAATTTGTTAAAATTTAGTTAATTAAGTTATTCGGATCGGATTATATTTTTGAATCGAATTTCGAATTGTTAACATATTTAAATACGATGAGCCCAAATTCACCTGGGTATAAGCCCAATTATTATATAAGCATAAATCAACTACAAAAGCAAGTCAATCCCAACTCATAGATTCAGCCTAATCCAAAGTTTAAGAAGTCCAGGAAGATCAGCACACGTAAGGAGTAAACACCGGGATAACCACTACTCAAAGATGAAGACTATCTTTAATTGTATCTATCCTATAGCTATCTTCCCCGAAAGACTAATAGTCTATCCCTTATGCCACCGCCTCAACTAAGGTTACGTGCTTATAAATTATAAACTCTTTATACTCGAGGGATATGTCTCCATACCTAGAGTTTATTTTTGCTTCCTCCCTCTCTCTCTCACCTGTTACCTTATAAATAGAGTCATTCAGCTACCGTTGCCACCTCCAAAATAAAATAGATCACCTGATTGAACTATTTTATATTTGTGTGTAGTCTGTGTTGATATCTTTTTTTACTATATTTATTACTCATATTAATTGTTTGACAGGTGATGTATAAATTCATTTTTTTACATCATTAAAATATATACCATAAAAATAAAATTTGTCGAAATGTTGAATCGAACTCTTAAAATCAGATTTAAATTTGAATTAATCAAAGTACGATTCAAATTTAATGACGGGCGTACCTAGAACTTCTAATGATGTCATTATCATTTGTGAATACTTTCATATCTCCACACTATTTCTAAAATAAAAAAAATCTCGCCTCCAAATTAGATTCTTGGATTTATCGGAATGGTAGATCGTTGTCAAAAATATAGACAAGTTGTAGGGAATTTATTGGTGAAGTAACTTCCAAATTACCAAAAAATCCCTAGGTACCATGAATCGAACCCACACTATGGCCATTCATTTTCAGATTTGGCTCTTTTCTCTTTCTCTTAACAGCAAAGTCACATCGTTGCTCACCCCCTTCTCAATTTCTCTCATGCATCCCCCCACCACCTAATCTCTCTCTCTCTCTCTCTCTCTCTCTCTCTCTCTCTACATCCAGATACATATACAGTTATACGTACACATCCAAATATGTATAACTATGCCCATCTCACAATCATCTACTGATTTCTTCACTGCAAACGCTAGCTGCTCAAGATCTAGGAAAGGTGGAATCTTGGACGAAGGATGGATATAGGGAATCATAAAGGTGAAGTGAGAAATGGCTCCTGAATTTTATTTTTCTGTCTTTTTTCTGGGTACCCCTTGGATCCTCATTCCACCCATCAGATTCTATAAAAACTGTTGAGTGGTGCTTGGATCAGAACAATACTTGGATAAGAGAAGCTGGTAAACGGTTGTGGTCATCTGTTAAGTGATCAAGAGTTGTTAATTGTCATATACAGCTTGATGCTAAAGTTCTTTAGCTTGAAAGGAATAGTGGTTATGGTGGTCTTGACGTTGTTACTTTTGGTGCTGCCGTTGGTGTCGCCGCCGATTCATCCACCACCCTTTATTCTTCTGTTTGTTCCCGTTATGCTCATGGCGGTTCTCGTATTCTTGTCACTTATGCCGGCGGAAATGCCAAAGGCCGAGGATGTAGCTTCTGTATGAAATGAAATCTATTACAAATCTGATTAAATACCCTATGGTGTCAATATGTCAGTTACAAAATCACCAGTAAGCAATCAGTCTCCGGGTCCATCTCTTTTTCTTTTTTTTTTTTTTTTGTTGCTATAAGAAGTCCAGACTTGCACCGATTACTTAGGGTCAAATACTCGCCACCGTCGGAGTAGGTTTGTAATCCAGAGGTTAGGCTCAGCTTGAACCACCCTGAGGGTTTCTGGATTCATCTCCTCGCAAGCTCCAGCATATACCTCTCTCTCGTGAGTGTTTTTTTGACACACAGCCTTTCGTGTAAAGCATATCTCACACACACACACACAGTGAAACAACAAATATTTTAAGTAATATATTCATTGTAACACTTTAGTAGGAGCAAATTCAATGTACCTAGTCAAACTGGAAAGTAATAGAACAATCTGGTTGGATCAATTCGAGGTGAATCCAATGCAAGGAAAAAAATAGAAAATATAAAACTAATACAATAAAACCCCTTGATATAATCGAGAACAAATAGTTATAATTAAACTGAATTACAAATATTATATGGATTCCATTAAAATAGTCCCGGGCTAATTTCAACTTGCACCACCACATATCACTCGAATTTTAATTTGTACCCTCAAACTTTAAAAATATTAATTTGTGCTTTGAAAGACATAAATTTGTATCAATATGCACTTGGAGTTAACTCCGTTCATTTTGCGGGTTAAAAAGTTTGGGTTAATTATAAATTATGTCTCTACTAGTTTAAATATTTCATATTCATGATCTAAAAAGAATTTCATCCTTTAATGCTTATTAAATATCTCTCAATTGTATCGTTATCATAACATTTTCGTGTCTTATTCGAGTAAATAATTTTTTTTTAAAATTTAATAAAATTTGTAAAATATCTATTTTTTATCTACAATATTTGATAAATAGCTATTTTATGTCTATAGTTAGACACAAATCTTTTGATTGTTCAATCAAATTAAAATTAGATATGAATAACATTGTTGTAAACAGAAAATAGTTATTTAACGAATATTATAGGTAAAAAATAGGTATTTTTTAACTTTTAAAAAAAATTAAATAGTATTATATGAATTTTAGTAAATGTGAAATATATGACAACGCAATTGACTAGACACGAAAAATATTTTTTTATTGACTTGAATGCGGCATAAAAATGTTATGACACCATATAATTGAAAGCTATTTAACGAACATTTAATGAATTAATTTTTTTTTGGATCATAAATGTGAAATATTTAAACTTTGAGGGGTACAATTTATAATTAGCCAAAAAAAATTTAACTGCAAAATAAGCGATAGTTAATCTCAAGTGTATATTGATATGTATTTATATATTTTAGGGTATAAATTATTTTTTAAACTTTAAATGTATAAATTAAAATTCGAGTAATCTTTCAGGATATAAATTAAAATTCGAATAACCTTTCAGAGTATAAGTTAAAATTAACCTTAAAATAAAATATAAAAGTTATCAATCTCCTTCTAAAGTAAACCCTTTCTTTTCAAAAAACTCGTGCTCAAATTTCTAAGGCTTAAAACAATTTAGTGTGTCTGTGCTTATCTTTGTACTTCAAATCAATCTTTATTAGCCTCATACAGATTGAAATAATGTCTTGCTCAGGAGTAAAAAATTCTAGAAAATATGTTGTAGAAGCCTATGTAGTAGCACAAGTTGCCAAAATTGAACTTGCTCCCTTCATGGTACTTTTCTGCAACTTTTTCAACGCACGGACAATTTTTGAGAGACTTAGAGTGTTAGTGACTCGCTGGAGTTGTTATGATAATTAAGAAAATTATTATCATATGTTTTCTAATCACGGTGTTTACTTTTTTCGTCAACTTTTGATATGTCGGGTTCAACTACAAACACTTCAGTTGTTGTATTATCACCAATTGGCTTTACCATTAATGTTGTTTTCTTTTTCCTCCTTTGAGTAACTTTCAAAAGGCTTCCCAATATTAACATAAGTCTACTTATTTTTTTTATCATCGTCTTTAATTTTTTTTTTTGTTGATAACCTTTATTTATTTATTTTTTTCTGTTTCGTACTTCCACAAATTTTGAACGTGGAAATAAAATTTAAACTACCTTTTTCTCATTAATTTTTTGATCTCTCCAGGTGCAAAAAATTCATATTTATTAGCTTCTGATATAAAATTTGAGACACCGAATAACACCATTATAAAATAAAAAAGATTGTGACTCAGTATTACCTTAAATTGATTGTCTTGATCCAAACTCTTTTTGTTGCATCATAAATCATATATATATATATATCATATTTTTTTAACATCATTGCAATATGCAATAGGTAATACTTTAGTAGACATACAACAAAAACTTTGTCTTAAATGATAGACAACACTACAACCTCGAATAGGTTGAACATGAGAAGATTTTGTATATTCTGAAAAGATAGTCGTATTTTAATGTGTAAGACGTGAATTCGATCCTTATAAGTACTTAGGTTGTTAATGTATTAGATTTTACTTCAAATTTGACCCGAATTTTAATAGATCGTTGATATAGAACGAGATTGATAATTTTTATATTTTATTCTATTTGATTGCACAGTTAGAATTAAGATTTAATTAGCAATATTATAAGATATTAAGTTTTCTAAAACATGTCAATTTTTATAATTTATTCGATAAGTGTTTATTTATTTTTAGTAATTTTTTTAAGATTAGGGATTTGTTTTTGCTTCGAAAATTTTAAGATTTTGGATTTTCTTATAATTTGTCTTATGTACCACGAATTCTATGAAGTTAATCAATTAAATAATACAATATTTTGAGAATTTTTTTCTTCTTTTTTCCTATTGATGCAAAGTGTTTTGTACTTATAGAGGTGATATCTTTGTGTCCCCTTATTATCCGTTGCATCAATTGGTATCAAAATCTTAACCGAACTGTCATGATCTCTAATCAATGAAATCATGACAACTTTTTTTAAGACAATAATTATGGGAACAGGACTCTCCCAAGAGTCGAATTCTTCGATTTTCAACAACAACAACAACAACAACAACAATAGTTCGAGTAGTTCTAGTAGTCCTTGCAAGAGTTGCTGGTTGTGATTGCCCAGTTGATGTTGAATCCAAATTAGGATCTTAATTGAGATACGGAGCATTATGATCATAGAATTTGTGTTCAACCTATTCGAGATTATAGTCTTGTCTATTGTTTAAGACAAAGTTTTTGTTGTATGTCTACTAAAGTATTACCTATTGCATATTGCAATGATGTTGAAAAAGATGATATATATCTGATTTATGAGGCAATAAAAGGAGTTTGAATCAAGACAATCAATTCAAGGTAATACTGAGTAACAATCTTTTTCATTTTATAATGGTGTTACTCGGTGTCTTAAATTTCATATCAGAAGCTAATGATTATGGATTTTTCACACCTAGAGAGATCAAAAAATTTATGAGAAAAAGGTAGATTCAATTATTTCCACGTTCAAAATTTGTGGAAGTAGGAAACAGAAAAAAAAAAAATGAAGGTTATCAACAAAAAAATATTGAAGACGATGATAAAAAAGAGTAGACTTATGGTAATATTGGGGAGCCTTTTTAAAGTTACTCAAAGGAGGAAAAAGAAGACAACATTAAAGGTAAAGCCAATTGGTGATAATACAACAACTGAAGTGTTTGTAGTTGAACCCGACGTATCAAAGGTTGATAAAGAAGATAAACATTCTGATTAGAAAACGTATGATAATAATTTTCTTAATTATCATAACAACTCCAGGGAGTAACTAACACTTAAAGTCTCTCAAAAATTGTCCGTGCGTTGAGAAAGTTGCAGAAAAGTACCATGAAGGGAGCAAGTTCAATTTTGGCAACTTTTGTTACTACATAGGCTTCTACAACATATTTTGTAGAATTTTTTATTCCTGAACAAGACATTATTTCAATCTGTATGAGGCTAATAAAGATTGATTTGAAGTATAAAGATAAGCTCCGACACACTAAATTGTTTTTTAAGTCGTAGAAATTTGAGGACGAGATTTTTGAAATGAAAGGGTCTGATGTAGAAGGAGATTGATAACAATCTCGAATATGATATATGCATATATTTTTTGATACGATAACAATCTCGACTTTTCATCATCTATTTTTTGATCGTACCAAACGAAGTATCAAAGTTGAATTGAATATTTCATCCAAACCTATATATATATATATATATATATATATATATAAAACAATCAAATTAAGTGAGAAGTGGGTTGAGAAGTCTTCCCTCTCACTTTTCTTTTTTTCTTAAAATTTAAAATTTTTTAATTCAAAATTTAAGGTTCCCTCCTCCAATCATATGTTGACATGTGTTATTGGTAACTACTTACCAACTTTTTCATTTTTTAAATTTTTTTTTTAAAAATCACTTTTTATTTTAACCTATTGAGTTATAATATAAAAAAAATAAATTATAATCTCATATTGCAGGAGACGGACTACTAGTTTGAAAATAAATGAAAGAGCTTAGGTTAACCGTGGTGGTTAGAATCTGAATTTACATGTCTTAAACGTGTGCTTTATAAGTCAAATTAGAAATACCAAACCAAATCCAAACTTCTCTTCACTTTTGGCCAAAATTAATTTAAAAAAAAAGTAAAAAGATCATCATTTCCCAATTCATATCTAACTTTCTGACTTTACTCCCAATTTCCAACCCCACATTTGGATTTTGAAAGTAAAATAACAAATAAATTGATCCCACAACCTGCTGGCTCATTCAAACTCCACTTTGAAGATAAAGCATTGCACAAATTAATCTAGATAATGCGAAACCTAGATATTCTTGTTAAAAAAACAAAATCGCCATGGCTTAGATTGGATAGTGAGGACTTCCCTTCCAAATTAGGTTTGAATCTCGTTAGAAATGAGTTATGTATATTCTGAAAAGATACAGAATTCCAATTCTTCTCGCGTTCAACCTATTCGAGAACATCAGTACAATCTCGTCT